CTAACTCGATCCAGTCCCCTTCTCGTCTCTCAACGCAAGGACAAAGCAATCAATTTTTTGAAATGTACACAGCCCCTTTTTAAAACAAGGCTACCGTATGCTTTCACCTTAAAGTTGCCGTTTTTCCCTTTTGTTTTTAATAAAAAAGGGGTTAGAAACCGGAGATGGCCCATAGGCATGTTGAACCTAATGGAACAACGACAACAATGAAATGGTGAATCGCTATCAATACACTGAGTATTTAAAACAAAATAACATCTGCACTGTTGAGGGAGATGAAATAACAACACATACTAAGCAGCGCAAGACAATGCTTCTATTCACGTCTTTATTATTTACACATAAAAATATAAGCAACATCCGTTGCCTTTTTGGCAGAATACTTAACAAAATCTGACAACTGATTCTATTCTGTGAAGCACAATGATCGAAAAATCGTTAGATATAAGCCGCATTGCGCGAGCTATAAAAGATACGCCCGACGCAAAGGAAACGAAAAAAATGTACCCAATACCCAACTTAAGGTACTCATTATGTTCACGAACCTCATTCAGTATTTATAGTCCGAAAATAAGACTACACATTGTAGGAAGATGTGTCTAAAAACAATATAAAATCCAAAAAAACAACTAACTTTCACTTTTATTATTAAAGCAAATGCCAAAGAGTACTTTTTCCCGAAACGGGCAGTTCATTCAATCTCACATTCCCCTGTGATTCGTTACATCCAAGAAAATGTCTTACCCCACAGAAACAGTTGTATTAGTCGAGGACGTCAAGCAATACCTAACAGCTGCAATATGGATTTACCATCGCCTCATACAGAAAATTAACAACCACAGCAGAATTCACGTAATGAAATACTGGTTGATGTTACTTAGGGCGACAAAGTTCTAGTTGACTCCAGTGATCCTCAGCAGGAAAGTTGGCTTCTAACCGCGCCTTAATGCCATATCACGAAATGCATGATAAGTCATATTACACGTTATTAAAATCTTACTTACTTAAATTCATGTCAGACAGATTGCAAACTAAATTATACCTATATACATGCGAGTCTTTTGTGGTAACCGTTTCAGCTATAATACGGCAAATAGCCACCAAAGTGCTAAAAAATTCTTAGGTCTGACGGGTGTGGTAAGAGGTGGGCGAGGGAGGGGGCGTGGTCCCTCTCCCTGGATTCGCCACTGCTGTGGAAAGATTTTTATTTCCTCCAAATAGATCCTTTTCACATGACGTCACGGCAGCAATATTGGGGTACAAAACAAAAACCCGGCGGGCATGTAGGTGTTCCAAAAAACCCTGTGAAGATTAAGCTCTGTTCGCATGTAAAAACGTTCTTTTGTTGAGAAATTTGCATAGCTGCCGATCACGTAAATGAAAACGATCTATAGAGCCAATTCATTCACGTGGCCATAGCCTCCCACGCAGGCGTTTTTAGGGGAGCTCATTTTTCATGAAGCCTCGGAGTCTCCTTTCGCGTGTCGCCCACGAGTGACTTTCCGTGACTCTCACAAATGGAGAGCTTGCTCGAGGCTTCAGCTACCTCTCGTCAATCTCCACCAATGGGGAAGCTTCGCGAGACAAAATTATGAATTATGCGAAACTATCTCTTCTTATTGTCCAATAAGTTTTGCACTATTTTGCAAGTAACAATAAATACTATTTGGGATTTGTAACGCCGTAGGAGCGGTTAGTCACCAGGACTGCACTTCATATTTTTGAACAAAGAGCGAGGTAAATGCACTCCTTGCATCTTATACCTAACGTCTATTAAGGCTGCAGCTAATCCTACATATTATACTCAACGTATAATAAATACGTACGGGAGGCGAGCAAATTCACTCTTTACACAACAAATGCAGTTCCTACATATTATACGCTACGTATATAGGATCGAGCTGGTCCGCAAGGAAGCCGTCCCTCAGATGCATTCGCTGTTTCTCGCCACGAGAATTGATTGGTACAACACCGGGATCAACCACCACAACTACCCCTACAATTAATTGTTGTTCATTAAGTACGGATGACGTCACAAGAGGAACGACGTCAAGAGCCTCGCTTTCGTCCGCGTCAAGCTCGACGACAACGACTAGAAGGTTGGTCCATGTAAACACCGCACTGCGGGAGAGAAGGGAAAAAAAATGAGAGGTCGATGAATCAAATATGATTGTCACGAATACATTAAATGGACACCACAGGCAATGTACCGTTATTTGAACACAAAAATTTCCTTACAACTGCGGAGAACATGATGCAATGTATCTTACGTTATGCAAGTTTCGATTCCATATAAGTCATACTATGACATAATCATTGTGTTGAATCTGCCTTCAGCGTTTCAGTCAGGATATCATAGCAGGGCGCACTTAATACTGATACTGTTATTTTTCAAACCAACACCTTTTCTCCGGAAACTTAGACTGCGAGCAGTACCACTTTAGTCCGTCGACTCGAGAGGGCGAACAAGCCAAGGAGGGAAAAGGAGATAAGGAAGAGAAAAAGGCCAATACTCGCTTGCCTGATTAAACTTTTAAAACCTAACATCAACATTCAAATTCTTATTTGTTGTCCCAATACGTTTCCTATAGAAGTAGTGTGGAGAAGTTGTTGAAGTATCAAGTAGATTTATCTTGTGTGATCATTTCCTAAATTCCTGTCACCAAGCTGTTTTAAAAAGCATTGATATCACAAGGAGACGTTTGAAGCTGATAACCTTAAAGGCCAAATTTAGCCAAAAACAAAATAAATTTCGACCAAATTTCACTTAGTTAAATTTTGGAAAACAAATAGCACCAAGTGTAAGTACAGGCAGAGAGCTTTCATTTAAATGGTCACATAGGATTTCGTCCGCAAACTCAAAAGTTAGAGTCACCTTACAAAACTCCATCAAGCACTTTGGCAGTGAAAGGGTTCAAGGAGTTGACTAGCACGCAACATGTTCGATAGCGCGGCATTCTTGAGGAACCAATAGCAGTCTCCTAAAAACTGGGCAGCCAGTGCACACAAACAGGACACCCAGATGTCCACCTGGCTCAAACCTTGACAGCTCTCTGCCTTGAAAAAAAGCACTTATTTACAAACTTATTTTCTGTATCTTTCACACTAACCTCTCGCATATTGATCTGTGGCATCTTGTGACGGAGTTCTCGATGTCTACAGGGTGATACCGCATGCCTCGTAATACCATGGTCTCCTCTAAAGGTCCGACAACGAATAAAGCATCGTGCCGGGCTGACAATAAAAATTAAAAACACGCTCCGCTTACTGCACTTTTCAGCAACAAATCATGACGCACGAAATGCAGCGAAAGCTTGAATTTTAGGTCGCCAGTGGATGTATCTGTTATATGTATTTAAATATTTTCTATAATTTCTTTTCTTGTTTATTTGCTTTCTTTGTGTTACTAAACTAATCTTTTTCGATGTGTGTTAGTAAAAGGTTGACATTGTTAAAACCCGGGTTGTCTATTCACTAATAATTAACAAACTAACAACCTTCTTAAGATTATTCATTTTTCTGCTTGGGAATCAAAATTTTTATAAAGCAGTATAAACCATAAAAACTTTTGCAGTTTCTTGGCTTACCGTCAACAGGTACAAACCCAAAAGAATGGTTCGTTTTCGCTCGCTTACCATGTGCTGTTCAGCAAATAAGCCGGTTCTTGTCCCCCCAAATTTTTCTCGGGGAGGAACAATACTAGACCCACGGAAACATAGTTCTTATGACTGATACAGAGATTAGTAGAGCCTCAGGCTACGGACATTTCTATCACGCAGACAGCCCTTTACTACGGACAGTTACCCAGGCACACTTCCCTATTACGGAAACCTCTGTGATGCAGACGCTTGACTCTCTATATCTCCCCCGGGCGTCCGTGTTAGGATGTATTACTCAGTGCCGGATCCAGACCTTTAGATAAGGGAGGAAGGGAGGGGAGGGTCATCCAGACACTGAGGAAAGGGGGAGGCCCACTCTCCAAAATTTTCTTCCGCCCTTCGGGCCTCAGGTTGTCTAAAAATAAATGGGGGAGGGGGGGGGGGGACTCGGGCCCCTTCCCTGGGTCCGCTACTGTTACTATCTATTTATATTCCTAGATCACATCACAAGGCAAACTTTGCACGAGTAAACCTACCACCATCCGTTTGCGTGAAATCCGTTCTCTTGATAAATCCAAGACATCCCGTCCTTGCGTACTGTACCCCCATATCTCCCGAGGGGCCTGTAGTGAGTCTGGCATTAAACCGGTCTTCTGTTTGGCTATCCTCGCCCGTCATGAAGTAACCGCTGCCATTGTGCGGGCTATTCACCCAGATCTGCAAACATGTAAATTAAATTAAGGCGTACCGGAGATATATTGTAAAGCCAAACTGAACGCAAAATTTTAGTCTACCAAACCTAAGGCAGAAATCTATTATAAACAATTCACAGTCTTTCAATTTACTAACGTGACGTACCTCTCCAAGATGTGAGTCTGCGCACATTCCTTTCGTTTCTGGATTGGCGATAACCACTTTGACACCAGGCAGTATCTGATTGAAAAAAAAAGTATTAGAACATGATTTGAAAAGGAGTTCATAAAAATAAAAAAAACAACTTCTTTTTAGGAGAAAAGAAAAAATAACATTTTTACCCTGACGTTTAGCGCTAAACTTTGTCTCCCGCTTCGAGCATGGTTAAAAAACAAGGATCTCAGTTTGTTGAAGTTACCGTACAGTTTCATTAGCTAATTTAACACAACCATTTGCGTTCGAGGATAAAGGAAGCTCTTTTGTCAGTATAGGGAAGAAGACCTCAAAGGAAACTACAGAATTATCCAAACAATTATATGTTTTTTGGAAACTGCCCACCTAACCCTCCCCTAAGCCAACATTTTGCCCCAAGTAAGAAGTAAGTGTTAAAGTTGGCTTAGGGGAATGGTAGCTGGGCACCACAATTCCTACCTTGCCCGATTCTAAAAGGCACAAACTGTGTGGACTGCCTCTTTCCACAAGTGTCACTCTACAGAAGGTAAAAAAAAATCATCATCATCGCCATCACTATCATCATTATCCTTGCAATATGTTATCTATCGTTTCTACTGAATCAGAGTCACTTGACCTTTGAATAGGCATCTCAGTGGACCAGTTCTTCCAACGCTTATTTAAATTAGTATATTTTCTGTCTTCCTATGTGACGATCCGAAGAATAAATGTCATCCCCCTGGACTAAAGTTGCATTTAAAGCATTAAAATGTTAACGGCACGAACCATCAATAAACAGAAAACAATGTTGCCCCAATAAGAAACAGTATGGACTATAGCGTGACAGTAAAATAACTACCTGTCATTTCGTAAAGCTCTTGTATCCACGTACACACTGGACGCCTCTGGAGTTGACGCACCCTAGAGAAAAATTGCAAGTAAGTTAGAAAAACAAGTTGATGAAGCAAGTCACAAACAGTTCAGTAAGTAAATTATTTTGAGAACTGGTACCACACGTAACCCTCCATGGAGATGACGGACAAAAGGACTATAACGCCCATATCCTACCTTCCTCCCTGACATGTTATCTGTAACACAATATTTACGATACTCGAGGCAAGCATTTTCACCTGTGTACAAATGGCGACATTGACTCTGCATCCGAACGATGTGCTCACTGCACGGGGTGAGAGGCCCAAGCCAGAGAAAAGAGTGGAGAATGCTGTGGTAAGGTTAATTCTAGGTCTCTCCTCAGCCACAACGACACAGTTTCTAACGCAAGTAAGGTTCACTCCTTTGGACTGAAAGAAAGCAAACAAGAAGACCATTTCAAGCGTTGGCAAAATTTCAGACATCCTTCTTCGAGGGCTCTAGAGATTTGACGCAGGCTAGGTGCCACCTACAATTGCGGGGACGGGTATTATAAACTGGTACTAAACGCCGCATCAGAGGGTTTGATCGAGTTCTTTTCATTTTAAGTATCCATCTAATCATCCAAGCTCTTTGGTAGTGACCAACTCGAAAGCCTAAGCTCCTTTGGTCGCTACGCACATTTCACCTTTCACAGTTTACGTAATTTGTTGTTTTATTTTTTCTTAGTTTTGTAATGTATTGTAGTTCTTTGTAGTAATCTCTTGAAATAGTGCAAAAAACAAAGAATCTAAAAATGGAAATCTAAGGTCATCACCTATCTCGTACCTTGAGTACTGGTATTGACTGACCGAGTCCCTTGGTACATAAGTCCATAACGGGGTACGAACAAAACGTGTCGCGAACTGGAAAACAAACAAAATAAATGAATCAAAATCCTTGCAGTCATTGCAGTTTCGCACTTTCAGACTTCTTTACACATAAAGATAATCAAACACAGTCGAGTGAACAAGATGTTTGGGGTGGGCGTAGTGTTAAAAATAAAGCAACTGTTAACTGTAACGGTACCAAAAATTTAGGGAAACAGTGTTGGAAACGAGTGCTTCAAATATGCAAGAAATTCTCACCTTTGTATTGACTAACTACAGATAACCACAGAGCTGGGTTAGTTTCCAAGTCTCCTGGCGGTATAAGGAGTGTGTGGTGACCAGAGTACACCCTGAAATGTAGAAAGCATAAACTTTAATTACTTCAAACAAGAAAAGGTTACAGAGCTAGCTAGCAACAGTCACACTGGACTAAATGATTTCCTGCTTGTTGCAGTGCGCGGCTCAAAATCATTTCCTTCATTTAGCTTCGAGCTCTGATGAGTTTATTGAAATGGCTAATTCTCCTGTAATTGGTCAGACAGTACTTTTGCCTTCATTTTCCTACAATTGATCGCCACATGCAAGCGTTTCCTGCGCTTGGCAGCAGCTGTTTCGATTTCTGATTAGTTTTTTTTTTGACATGGCTGCGTCTGCTGTGATTGGTCAGAATAATCGTGTCAAGCATGTATTTTCCCGCGCTTGGCAAGCGGCCTCTTGTTCCATTCTCTGATTGGTTTACTGCACGGGCTGGTTCTCCACAGTGATATTTCTTACTTTTGCTTTGATTTTTCTATAATCGAGCAGACGTTCTACATACCCTGTTAAACACCATAGCAAAAACCCCAGTCCACAGTAGGGATCAAGGCAGACAGCAATGTCACGGGAAGGATACAGTTCACAGGCAAGCTTCATGGCGCGACATAGAGAAGTCACTGCTGAATGGGACATCTAAAAAGACCAAACATGTTAATGACAAAACCAGTAACATGCTACAATAGCAGCTTTCTAAGTGAAGAAGACCTTCACACTATCAATTTCATTTCATTTCAACACAAACGTTACGTCAAAGAGGTTTCATTTGAATGGTATCACCATAGGATTTCGTCCACAGATACTGGCTTTAGAATAGCAAATAATTTCACCATAGCTTAGTCCAAGGGTAAAAGGGCAAAACGGTTAAACAGCAATTTTTCTGGCTTTGCTGACTCCAAACGTCAGAGAGATGTTACAAAAAAAGCCCATACCTTAACCCCGGACAACATCCCGGTTGTAGAGACACTAAAATCCAAATACGCGATCATTTCCGCCGTTGGAGCCCTGTACGGGTTAGTAAGTTTCTTTTTAGGGGCATCATCCACTTCTATCACTGTGGGCCACGATTTTATGTCCACAACCCCCAGAGCTTCTTTAGACCGCAGCGCCTTGGCAATATTGTGGGTTGTGAGTACAGCACGTGACTTGCTCACGTCAATAACCATTTTCACGGTGGGGAGGGTGGTACTGATGTTGTTGGCGTGTGGGGGACGGACGGGGACTGGAATAAGACCTGTGAAGAAATTTTTGGGAAGAATTAAAGGAAATCAAATGCAGTTGAGATGGATGAAAAAATGAGATCTTAATTACGAACCCGAAAATAACTTGGTTCAATCATTTTTTATAGAGAAGTTTAATAGCCTACCAGCATAGAGACATGCAAACACTGCCACGATGAAATCCACACCTAAATGGAGAAATAATAGTTCAGCAGTTAATAGTGTTAATACGTATGATACGTATCTTAAAATAAGGCCATACGTTCATTCATCAATTGTCTGTCCCTGCCCCCACGCCCCCTCCCCCCCCTTGATTCCGCTGGATGTAAAGAACCTGAGAGAACACCCTTGCCAGGCTTTTACCTTTTTTTAACCACATGCTCTCTACAAGTTGGAGAGGATTGGATAATAGGCTGCTATAAAACCAAAGTTAAGAAGCAAAAATCACGACGGCAACGGCAGCAAAAGGTCACTTATAGGATACATATGCGCTCCCTGAAATTTCAACGCGAATATTCCATCAGGCACGACTTGTAAAATATGGGCAAATTTTCCTGAAATGGCATCCTTAGGACACGCATCCAAGTTCCAAAAAAAGCGAGAAATTCGTCGTTGTGAGTTTACGGCCTCTATAACACATCACATCAGGAAGTTTCACGTCACAATCGTGAACTCCGCTCTCCAATTCTACCGATAGGAACACGACTGAATAAACCAATCAGATCTCAAAACAAAGAGATGTGGCGGGCGCCAAGCGCGGGAAAGGGTACATTTGATTGGTTCGGATAATGGCGCGAAATGTTTCAGCCAATCACAACGCGTCAAGTAAATTACTTACCAGGAGTAAAGAGAAGTGCCACATTATCACCAGAGCTGAGGCGTCCTTGTTCAACTGCCATTTGAGCCACCCGCTCCGCTCGCTTGTGTAACTGAGTTGTTGTCAGGAAAGAGGCTACAGTGCCCTAGAAAGGTGATAAAAATTACAGGGATGTTAAGACGGAATCCACCAGGAAATTGAGTAATTTTAATTTTCAGCGGACAAAAATCTTGTACCAGAATAATTTAAAGCATATTGCATTCTTTTTTACATTTTTCAAGGACTGAAGATGTAATTAGTCATCTGTAATAACACCAAAGAAAATCTCTCTTGGGGCCCGAGAAAATGAAAGTCAAATTTCACAAAATGACATCTTACACATGAAATTTTCAGAATTTTACCTGTGTTTTCACAATTCTTGTGAAATTTGACATTGATTTTCTCGGGCTCCCATGAGAAATAGTCTTTGGTGTTATTACAGATGACTAAGTACCTCTTAAAAAAAGGAAGCAATATTCTCTAAATTATTTTGGTACAAGGTTTTTGTCCTCTTAGAATTAAAATTAATCTATTTACTGGTGATTCCGTCTTAAGTTGACAACAGCTCTGCTGTCTAGAACGTAAAGGCACCTTAAATTTCAGGCCATCACCCTACCAAGCCTCGCCATCAACACGTTGAATTACAAGACATACGAAGACAGAATCTACAAGTGTAAGTTACCTTAGAATTGAGCAACGTGAACAGGGTATGATCAGGCATGGCTTGTGCTCTCCACTTGAGAATTTCAGCCAANCAGCAAAAGGTCACTTATAGGATACATATGCGCTCCCTGAAATTTCAACGCGAATATTCCATCAGGCACGACTTGTAAAATATGGGCAAATTTTCCTGAAATGGCATCCTTAGGACACGCATCCAAGTTCCAAAAAAAGCGAGAAATTCGTCGTTGTGAGTTTACGGCCTCTATAACACATCACATCAGGAAGTTTCACGTCACAATCGTGAACTCCGCTCTCCAATTCTACCGATAGGAACACGACTGAATAAACCAATCAGATCTCAAAACAAAGAGATGTGGCGGGCGCCAAGCGCGGGAAAGGGTACATTTGATTGGTTCGGATAATGGCGCGAAATGTTTCAGCCAATCACAACGCGTCAAGTAAATTACTTACCAGGAGTAAAGAGAAGTGCCACATTATCACCAGAGCTGAGGCGTCCTTGTTCAACTGCCATTTGAGCCACCCGCTCCGCTCGCTTGTGTAACTGAGTTGTTGTCAGGAAAGAGGCTACAGTGCCCTAGAAAGGTGATAAAAATTACAGGGATGTTAAGACGGAATCCACCAGGAAATTGAGTAATTTTAATTTTCAGCGGACAAAAATCTTGTACCAGAATAATTTAAAGCATATTGCATTCTTTTTTACATTTTTCAAGGACTGAAGATGTAATTAGTCATCTGTAATAACACCAAAGAAAATCTCTCTTGGGGCCCGAGAAAATGAAAGTCAAATTTCACAAAATGACATCTTACACATGAAATTTTCAGAATTTTACCTGTGTTTTCACAATTCTTGTGAAATTTGACATTGATTTTCTCGGGCTCCCATGAGAAATAGTCTTTGGTGTTATTACAGATGACTAAGTACCTCTTAAAAAAAGGAAGCAATATTCTCTAAATTATTTTGGTACAAGGTTTTTGTCCTCTTAGAATTAAAATTAATCTATTTACTGGTGATTCCGTCTTAAGTTGACAACAGCTCTGCTGTCTAGAACGTAAAGGCACCTTAAATTTCAGGCCATCACCCTACCAAGCCTCGCCATCAACACGTTGAATTACAAGACATACGAAGACAGAATCTACAAGTGTAAGTTACCTTAGAATTGAGCAACGTGAACAGGGTATGATCAGGCATGGCTTGTGCTCTCCACTTGAGAATTTCAGCCAAAAACTGGTACTGAAGAAAAAACAGTTGAAGTTCATTTATTTATTACTATTTATTAGCAGTAATAACAAAAGTTTTAAAGAGAGAGAAGAAAACAAATCGCGCGATCATTGGTCATTTGAGGTTGCTAGGACACTGGGCCGGTGTTGTGTTGAACTGTATTGTGGGAATGTTTAAGGAACGACTTTTGACCCAGTTTCCCACGCAACCTCGTAATAGCCAATCAAATAAGCTACAGCGTCTTCCAAAACAGTCCCATAGTACAATGCGACACAACACGGACCCAGTCTATCACGCAACCTTAGAATTGCCGACACGTCATTTCCATAGTCAATAATCTCATAAACCAAAACCCTCGGCCAATGAATCCGCGAATACTGCGTAACACAATTTTCAAGCGTTAGGTATATCTTGATACACAGCTAATTCTACAGATGGTTTACCTTCTTGGCCATATCACTGTCCTCTTCAATGTCTGCGATCTCTCTCCCAGATGCACCACCTATCCTTGTCCCCATCACAATGTTACCAACCATTGTAGCTGCAGGACCAGGTTCTAGAAAAAAAGAGTCAAGGGGTGTTAATAGTGAACTTACACAACAGGTCGGGAGAGGAAAGAAGACGACAAAGCTTGTAAGACAAGCGTGACAATAATTTTGTTTGAAATAACTTTTCGCCAAACTTTACTTCCCTTTAAACAAACCTTTTTGTAAACCGACCAGAAAACATTACTGTTAAGTGAAGATCACGACATGACACACAAGTGACAGCCTCGTCACGTTTGTCACGCACAAACGTTCTGCCGTCCTCTTGCGTAAACTCACTAATAATTCATGGAGGTTTTGGAAAATGAGTTCGATACTTTTCACGTTCTGATTGGTTGACACCCTTGTTTTTACTACACCAATAAAAGCAAAGGGAAGAAAAAAAAAGGGAAAAAGAAAGTTTTCATTACAAGTAATGTTATAAACGGAAAATGCTCTTTTTTCCACCGTTTTTTTTACTCTGAATATTGCGAGAACACTAAAAAAAAGCGTAGATCATGGGTGTTCCTTTGTGCATTGAGCATTCTCCAACATCCCGCGTAGTTTTATTGCCCCGGTTTAACGAAAGAAAGTTCTGACCACTTCTTGAACTAATCATAAGCCACACTTCTATCCATCTTAATAGTGGACACAGCTTTTTCTTACTAGGGACAGATCAAAATTAAGGAAAATTCTGGCTATTGCTTGAACCAATCACAAGCCAGCCTCTACACTTCTTTCAATAGTGGACACGTGGTTTTCTTACCAGGGTGTTTTTGCCTTGGTTGAGGTAGGTTTGTCACACAAGTATGGGGACACATCAAAATATTAGCTGGATGCAGTGAGCCATCCATGAACTTCTGCCTTGTCTCGTGAATGTGAACACCCCCGCCACTGTTCTACAAGAACAACAATTAACTTCAGTCAACAACTTGTAGTACGCACCACAAGCCTTGAAACCCAGATCGAGTCAGGGACAGTGCAAGCATAATTCTGTCACTGTTGAAGTACAGCACGCTCATCTACAAAGCTTCCTTTTGATTGATCGATGGCAGAATTATCATTCTAAAATGTTTACTTAGGGGGTACCAAACGCTTCTAGCGCAATTCATATTTATTTAAACATTCTCGCTTAGCAGGTATGAGGATTTCCGAAGATATTCTCAAAACTTTTCGAGAATTGCAGTTAATCTAGCCTAAGAAAACAGCCGACACTTCGCGATGCCCCCCCCCCCCCCCTGGTTTCCCCCCGAAAAGACGCCTGAAAAACAAGCCCAGAAATTTCGTTCTAATGACGTATCACCCCCCCAATCTGGGGAATGCTTCTGATTGGTTGAAGAAAATGTCCCCCCCCGCCCGACCAAACAAAAACACAACCCACCAACCCCGGTAGTGGAACGTTACAAGAATGGAATTTCTGGCCCCCTTTTTCGGAAGTCATTT